TGTTGCTTCCCCTGTATTCATTGGCAGCTTCCACGTTGAAGTAGGGCAGTGTGCTGTTGCTCTCACACAGCTTGGAGAGCGTGTAGGTGCAGTTGCCCATGAAGTCATGACGCTGCTTATCAAAAGTTAAATAATGAGGATCTCCATGTATAGTGCAAGTTGCTTCTGGAGACAGGAAAACAGAGTATGTTTCATTAACATCCAGAAAAGCCAGCTCATACCTCCATTGTGCTGTGAGAAAATATAGATGTCCCCATTTCATAGGTTACATATGAAAGAACTGAAACAGCAAAGACAGATTTTTATGGCCTGAGGCAGTGCCACAGAAACACGCTCAGATAAATTAACTCAGTAACACTGGTAGAATGCACAGCTGCCCTCCTCTAAATCACAGACTATCACATGTGATTTGTTAAAATTACCTGTCACAGCAGGTGGCATAGGTGCTGTTGTTGTAGGTGGTTGTGGTATAGGGGTGCTGGCTGCATCTGTCAGTAGGGAAGATAAGGTAACAATATATAACATTACATAACATTACACATTAAACACAGCATACAAACTGACATACACAAGTTTCAACTTACTCCTCACCAGCTTTAAGTTAGAAGACTTACACTGAAGAAAATGGAACTGTCTACATTTAAAAATTAGGACATTTGGCCTTTTTGAGTTCTTAGGAAAGCTCTGACTACTAACTTGGTGACAGTGACTGAGCTTGTCCTTGCATGCTTCCCTGAAACTGGAAATGTATTTACAATTGTACCTGTGATTCTCTATGCTTTGTATGTTAAAGCATGAAGGTCATGCTCTCTGCAAGTGTTGGCAGGTCTGAAAATGAGCAGCCTGCCAGCAGATGCCATGTAACAGTAACAAATTACTCTCAGGGCACTGGTGGTTTCTAATCAGAGTTTAATTTTTTTCTACAAAATGGCATTAATTTCTTAGGAATGTAAGGAAATGTAGGAGCTTTCTGCTGACAGATATAATAAACAGTGTTGTTGAGTTTTTGCTGATGCCCATTACTGCTTGTATTAATACGTATTAGCATCTTCTCCATCTATTCTTTATCCATCACAAAGACATATCTTAAAACAAGTGGTCCTCGTGGTGTAGTTGCATATGTGTGTTAACAACCCTGTACTGTAGGCACACAGTTTAGCAGAAGGAGGAGCTCTTTACTAGTCACTTGGGATTACGTTAGTGCACCATCCGGTGGCTGAACTGTGTGTTAATAAGCCTGGAAGAATGAACAACTGGCTCTCCAAATGGGCCCTGAGTATTTTCAACAGAATTTTAAAGAAAATTATGTATTCCGAGGTAATGCACATGAATGGAACTCTTCATTATTCAAAAATCCTGGCTAGAGTAAATTTAAAACATTTCATTGATATTATATGAATAGTGTTTCACAGAGAAATCTATTAAGACTTGATGATGTTTTTTGTACCATATTCAGCATATTTCTTGTAGAATTCACATCTTGTAAGTTTTGCATTCATAACAGCAAAGGTGATATTAAACTGTAACTCATTTCTGGCTCCAAGTCTTCCACAAATTGTACAGGACTAGGCTGATTTACTAGAATATCAGAGATCAAACTCAAATTACTGATTCATAATCAGGTATCATGGTGAAAGTAATCACTACTGATTCATCGATATATATATTAATTACATATGTGACAGTTCTGTGTATTTTCTGGCTCATATTGGACAGAGATTTGCTGTAAAAAGATATTTAGAACATTGAAATCAGGAGTTGGACTCTATGATCCTTGTGGGTCCCTTCTATCTCAGGTTATCCTATGATCCAAGACCTTGGCTGAGTTTAGATATGCACTTCACACTTAAAGTTTGTTGGACCAGGTGAAAATGGTCACATTTACAGAAAAATGAATGGCTTAGTCTCTACGTTTGAGGCGTTGAGGAAAGAACTGCGGAGGAATTACAATAAAAGAAGTAGCATTTCTATGAAGTGAGCTGGAAAGCTTTTTCCATTTCCCTTTCGTGGCTTGGAATTATGACAAGAGACACTTGTCAACTGCTTAAAGGGAGATGAGGACACAAACACAGACTTACCACAGGGTCCATCTCTTACTCTCACATTGTCCAGTGCCGTATCTGCATATTCTGTCAGTCCTCGGACAGCCTCAAAAATGACCTAGGCAGAATGCAAAGTGAATTGCTGCATCAGTTGTTCAGGCATGTGTGAGAGAATTTCCCTCAAAATGTTTTCAGAATTCTCTTTCTGGTCTATTTTTAAGGGCATTCAGGGAACTAATAGTAGAACAGTTTTCCTAGTGTTCTTCAGAATTAAAATATATAATATGTAATAGGGCAAAGACATAAAAAGACTGTCCTCTATCATTTATTTATTTCTTCGTTTTTTGGCTGGTTACTGACTTTTAAAAATTGTCTGGATTGTACAGAGCAGTCCTGTGTATTGAGCATCCCAAAGCTTAAACCTAAACTCACAGAGAATAACATGTAGAAGTCTTTTGCAGAAAAAGTGAGCCTAACGTCCTTGACATCATGATAAAACGAGGGAAGGAGGGAATGTGGAAGGAAAGAAAGATAAATCAAATATATTTTATCTCCTAGCTAACCTCAGGGAGTTGTTTGGTTTTTTTTCTCTTAGTTTATTTGCACAAAGCACAATGGCATTATAATTACAAAATATAAACCAAGAAAATCTTGGTCATCATTTCTAGCTTGCATGTACAACATTTTACAGCCTGCAAAGAGAGAGCAAATTGTAAATGCTGACATCATACAAATAAATTTATTCTGAAAATATGTTACCTTTATCTTTCTCTGTGTTGGAAAAGTATGTGTGACAGCACCATAAATCCAAGAGGAACTTTGGTTTCCCTTCCGACTCCATGCTGTAAACTCCCCCGTGCTGTCTTGGATAAGCACTCTCAGTTCATTTCTGTCTTCTGACCCATACATATAGTACCAGAAGTCTACGCATATTTTTTCAGAAGCCACAATATCTGGGCTCTCAAGCCTGTTAGTGTCGAATGGGATCAGATTACTTGCTTCTTGGTAGATGAAGTAGCCTTCTGCAGAGTGAGAAAATAAAAAATGTCTGAATCTTTCTAACTTGTTAGGTGTCACTTAAAACTGAAATGCATCTCAACTCTGGAAGAATTGAAGCACATCATTAGCAGTACAAAGAAGCAAAGTAGCAAATAATTGAATTTTTCACTGCAACAGTTAGCACTGTGTAATTAGCTAAAGTACAGTAAGAACTGGAGAGCAAAGCAAATATATCCTATCTCCTATGGACAGTTAGTTTGGGATTGCAAATGCAGATGGAGGCTTCTTTCAAGAGATAGCATGTCCAGACACAGTGCCCAACTTATCCTTGTTCAGTTTCCACTTTCCTCCAAGAAAAATAATGTGCATCTACTGTACACTTCTTCTTGCAAGATATGGTCTAACAATAAACAAATTTTTGACATAAGGAAAATTCCAACCCCTCAATATTTGGTTTTGTCTCAAAGCAGGAGGGTTATTTCCATTGAAATGTGAGGCTTGACATTATCAAAAGGAATCGATCTTTTCAAAATTCAGAATCTCACAATATTTGCTTTTGGGATTTAAATACTTTACTTTTAACTTGTTAATTGTTAGATCACATTTTCCTTTACTAAGGCTGGAGCTTTTTGCTTCCTATCACCTCTCTGCACCAAGATGAAAGCACTGTATTTTGTCAGTGCAGTTATGTCAAATCTCTCCCATCTGACTATGGAAAGGAGTGAAAAAGAAATGACCATTTCTACATTAAAAAGCATTACTCCACACATAGTATCTAATATTTAGTCTACTTTTTTAAGGCTTTATTAATAATTAGCAAATGTAAGTAGCACTTGAAGTTATATGAACCATGCCAATTGAAAAAATATACATGTAATAAGTGACCTTTCCCATCATGGGATAATTACTGAAAACAGTATGGCTACAGATTGATCTCCTATAAAAGAAGCTTCTAATTTCTGACTGTAATTTCCAATCTTGTAATGCTTTGCTAGCATGAACATTATCTAGTGTCAGTACAGCAATCGTTACATGTCTTGGCATCAGCTGATATCACTGTAATTTGATGATAAAACTTCTCTGAGTAATGATCTGTTGAATGTGACTGCATCCTCGGTGAGGTATTACACAAGAGGTAGTTAGCATTATTCTAGTTTCTTTTACTGCACTGATAAATATTTCCAACCTATGATGGGGCAAGCCAGTTTAATCTTGTGACTGAACATGGTGAAAAGTTGAAGACAGATATCACCCAAACCGACACATTTCAAAGGATTTAACTGATCTCTTCATGAAAAAGAAAGAGGAAAGGTAGTCAGGCTATATTCAAAATGAAGTATACACTGACATCAACAAGCACTTACTTCCATCAGGATAGTCTCCATCAGGACCTGTTCCATCTGTTGGAGTCTCATGTTTTGTTCGTATCCACATTCCCTGGTTCACAGTGCAAGGTTGGGTCCAGTCACAAAATGGTCTCGAGTTGTTGTTAAAATCACATCTAGTGAGGTAAGCTGAAACACAGAGCAAGGAAAGTAAGGAAAAGGAGACACTATTTTCGAAACCTGCCTTGGACATTAACAGCACTATGAGCAGTTACCTGTTTCAGGATCCCATGTTCTCACACCACCAGTTGGTCTTTGTTTGATCCTGCCAAGAAAAATAACACAGTGAAATCCCTACAGATTTAGTGACGCAAAAATTTTGTAAGTGTTGGGACTAACAGAGGTCATCAGGTGTTCTTACTGAATTACTGCCCAGAATCAGGGCCTCATCTGTGTCTGTCTCCTTCCCTTCCCATCTGTCCTTACTGCTTCATTAAGAAGTTCTGAGAGCTAGAAAAAGGTGTGATATGTTCACCTCATCTGAGTGAAGTAGGATCCTCTCTCTGTATCCCTCTGAAATGAAGGGAGACCAGCTAGGCACGGGGAGCTACAGGAAGGATGGCAAGGTACAGCAAAGTTTGGGCAATACCAGAATTACACAAAAGACTTGTTATGAAACTTGTTTGTAGCATTGGCATCCTCACTGCTGCTAAGCAAGGTATGTAAATGCCAGTAAACTGGTATGTCACAAAACTGTTATTTATCAGAAGGCTTATGTTTCCTTTAACCACTACAGATATCTCATAACCACGAACTATCATCTCATTCAGTTTTTTCCTCTAAGTTATCCTAAAAATGCTACAGGGCAACAGCAGTTAGAAATACATATAGTCCTTGCAATGCTACAAAGCCTGCAGAGGTGAGATGACGTAAAACCAAAGCTTTGTCACAGATCACAAGAAAGATGCTCTGTTCACTGGGTGTTTTGCATCAGAAAGGCATTTCCAGGACTGCAAGACTACAATAGCTGCTTTTGACATGTTCTGATGGTGGTCTACAGCTTTACGAGGCAGGGTCTAGTTCCCACTTCTGTGTTGCCCACCATCCCTATTGTCCTTCTTGTACGTGACGCAGTATAATCTGTCCTGAAGCAAAGCCAGCACAGCAGATGTCCCCACAACCCATCAAAATCTAAGCAGAGAGATTCAGAAATACTAGAGAGATTCATAGTGTCACATACAAACAGTATCGACTTCATCACTGAAACACACCAAGCAACTGGAAAACAGACAGAGCTGAAGCTAAGGAGGAGAGAGATGTGAAGATAGGTGAAGTAAGAGCATTTTCTTCTTTCCCTACATGGCAGCTGTAACAAGTTGCCATTTAATCTCTGTTCCATGCCATCTTTAAACCGCTACATATCAGAGTCCTAAGGCAAAGGTTACTGTAGATATACTTAGAAAGTCAGAAGCTTTTGATAACTGCAGCAGATCTCCCCTTTGGATCTGCCATTAGAAATGTACAGGTTACACATTCTTTCACAGTAACCACCACAGAATTTGGCAACAACAAAACTCAATTGTTTCCTCTTTTTACAAATGGCATGGTTTAATCATACAGCATTCCTGCACAAAATGCTAAGAAAGGACATTTATAATTAACGGTAACTAAGTTTCTTGAACTAAGGTACATTCAGCATTGTGCTACTTACCCTGTGGTATTCAGCACTGAAATACAGAATAAAATTAAAATGCATTGTAAGTGCCAGAGGGTCCCCATGCTAGAAGGCAGTCAAGTCTTCTGTGTGGTACAGTCTACATAGTAATCCATGAGCTGTACTCAGCAGCAGCGAGGACGATTTACAGTGCAAGAGAAGAATATATTGACTGAAGGGTGGAGGCGACTGTAAAACCTCTGTTCAGCTCTGTTTGGCTGGGCTGCCTGGGTAATCTACCTGAAGAAAAGTACATATTAACAGAAAGCTCATATTCTGCATGAGTTATTTTTACACCCTTCATTGTCTACTGGAGAAAACTATTTGATTCTTGAAATGTTTATTGCTACTCCTGTATATTTAAAATGTTTGCGTTTTCGTAGAGAATACTTCTCATGCTGATAGCAAGATAACATCGGTCATTTTAAAACTCCTGTCCAGTTTTCATTTCTAGTGTAAGTGTTCTTTTGTTCACTGATTTTTCTCCCTTCTGTTAGTTGTAAGCAGAGAAAAGGCAGGTTGGTTGTTCCCTCTGCCAGCTGGGCCTATGCAGACCAGCGTCCCTTCTACTAGGGTCTGTAAGAAATGGCTTGAAGGCTGTTACATTTCCTATGTCAGCTAGATTTTGAGCGATAAGAAACGAAGGAAAATCAGAACATGTGCAGTATTTCCTTACATTGCCTTCAAAACCCTGACTACTGCTTTTTTTTCCCCTTTTTTTCCCTCCTTTTTTTTTTCTTCTTATTTATTTATTTATTTGTTTATTTTAATCTAAAAGGAATATGGCTCTGGAAGTAAGGATTTCTTACTGTAATTCTGAGGATTAAGATCATTAAGGCCTCATTATTTAAATGCCTAGAACTTCCTCAATCCCATCTCCTTTACTCAGCACAAAATACTTTCATTTGTCATTAAGGTGTAACCGAGGAAGTGCTTACAGAAACAGGAAAAAAAGGAAGAATCAAGGAGGCTGAGCAAGACCATAAATATATTAGAGGTTAGTTTCCATTTCCTGAGGCTGTATTCTGCTACAAGCTCTTGACCTACAGGACCCCTTAAAAGCCATCAGATGGATATAGTTGATGTTCACTTGACAGGTAAGCCTCCCTCCGCAGAGAAAATCTCCCTTGAAAATGCATGCATTTTTACCAGTCAGTACACAAGAACGAGCATTTCTGTGACTTAGAGATAGAGGACATTTACTCCCTGAATAAAACCATTGCCCACAATTTTCCTATTCGGTTGAGGAGACCTCAGTGAGAGGGGGAGAACATAAGCAACCTTCAATTAAAAGTTGCATCGAGCACATTGTGTTTACAGCAGGGCTGCTGAGGTGTCAGTCCAGCAAGTGGTAATCCAGGCAATAGATGTCCTTGGAACTGTAATGAGTAGCCTTTCTTTTTTTCCCCGTGCTTTCCTAGTGCAGACATTTTATGGATTCCTCGTGAATCTGACGTTGCACTGTATGATTCTGAGAAGATCTGAGTCCACCTGCAAACAGCCACACAGGTTTTCCTGGTGAGGAGATACTGCCCACCTTGCAAAGAAATCAACAACTGGTAAATCCGTCCGTTCTAATGATGCAATATCTTTGAGCCCTCCTCACCCATGGCAAGTATGAGACATTGAACACCATGAACACTCCTATCAAAAGAACAAGTCATGCTTTCCAGCAGTGCTGGGTGGCGATTTCCATCACCTTGTCACTTCTGTTTAATGCCAGCTGAGGTACGCTGACTGGTGACCTGGAGTACTGATAGTAGGGTCTTTTCAGCAAGGGACAAATACTACTATAAAAGTCTACTTTAATATATGGAGAAAATTCCAGTGGGATGTGAAGCTATCTTGCATTCCTGATCACGTTGCGGCATGCTATTTCTCAGCTACGCCTGAATGCTACGTATCCCTGAAAGGAATCTGTTTATTTGCCTAAAAATACTGATCTGGACTGCACACCAATCTGTAGAAACGTTTCCCTGTTTGCAGCCAGCACTAGAAATTCCCCTCCATTCTGCCTGTTGACAAGGCAGATACTGTGACTACTCACGGAACTGCTTTCAGGTGACACAAGCAGATTGCCAACATAAAATCTTCAGGAGATGAAAACAGTAGGGCTTTTCAATGGACGATGTGAGCTGTAACATCCTCAAAAGAACAAAGATATACCGTATACAACTTTATTTCTGGCTGATGGGACTCTTAAAGAGACTATTATTTATTTTTTTCATAATAAAGCTCTGTTCCTTTGGAGATAGAATTAGCTTGATATTCCAGCAAAGGGACAGCAGAATGAAGATAACCAAAAGAGAAAATTGTCTCCAGCCAGGAAAAGCATCCCTGGTCAACTTGAGTTCCATTTGTGCCTTTGTTTTTCTGATCCCAGCTCTACGCATCCATACAGTATTCCTATACTGTTCCTGCTTCCACTGCCTGCACCTTTCCTTCTTACACCTCAGTTTGACTGGCAGACCCTTGCCCAGCCATGCCAATTTTCTGCTTTCCCTGTTTGATTTCTTATACATGAAAATGGAGAGCTCTTGTATTCTATGAAAGGTGTCCTTATAGAGTTTATAGAGCTCTGTTATTTTCCTCTGTCCCTAAGAGCAGTTTCCAGGGAATTCCATGCACCAATTCTTTAAACAGCTGGAAATTCTCTCTTCTGAAGTTCGGGGTCCTGACTTTGATCTTTGCCAGCTTTGTATTCCTCATGATCATGAACTCAACCAAGGTGTGGCTGCTACAGCCAGACTGCCTCTGATCTTAACCTCTTTGATGTGTTCAACTGCATTTGTCAGAACTGGGTCCAGTAACGCTTCTCCTCTAATTGTTTTTTCTAACACATGGACAGGAAGTTGCCTGCAACGTATGTCAGGAGTCTCCTGGATTACTTACAGTCCGGTGAATCTTTTTCCCAGCAAACATCCAGGTTGCTGAAGCCCTACATCAGGGTGAGTGACTGGGAACATGATGTAGCTGAAACAAGAAGGCCTCATCAGCAATTTGCAAATATATAATAAACATGTTTGATTTTCAGGCACTATAAATAAATCTGTAAAGCCTAATAAGAAATAATTACATCAATTTTAATTGAAATGGTACAAATCAAGTAGATACAGTTTGAGCAGCAATACTACAACTGATATAATTTCAGTAGAAGGATATATCTTTCACTTCACTCTTTGTTTCAATTCAAGCAGTAATAAAGTTCTTCCTCTGCCCTAACAAAAGTATGAGTCAGATTTTGTAGCACGCAAGACCTCTGTCACAGTTTCTGGAATTCCCAGTGCCCTCTGCTTTGCCTTTATTGATGCTGTGTATGAGAAGGCACTGTCAGACCTCTGGTTCCTTCAGAAAGTTATTTATGTTGCACTCTCGTCGGAGCTACCTCCAAGTCAATGCTTTGGTAAAACTCCACTTGGGAGTCACAAAACAACTAAGACTCATAAACCTGTAATCACGTACATTTAAATTATACAATAGTGCAATGAATCCCACCTTTGCTCTGTTGAGCAACATGTATAGATAGGCTGAGGAGGAAGTACGCACACAAAAATTCTGTTGCTAGAAAATAAATGGATGTTTCTTTGATGAGTAAAGTGTACTTGTGTTCTCTAGAGCACAAGCTGAAGCTGTTTTTCAAATTATTGGCTCCCCAAAGTGAATCTTAGATTTGAAATTCAGACCGTCTTCTTCCTGACCTAACAGCTGTAATTATTTTGCTACTGGAATGTATATTCTTACTAACGTACAGATCAAAATTTCATTCAATGTCTTGTCTTTGAACAGAAAGGAAAAGGTAACAGCATACTGGTCAGTATTATTACCTGTCAGCTGCCTATGAACAAAAGTCCTGTGTGCAAACACTCATATTGTGACCTAAAAGAGATGCATTTTTGAGGTAATGTTCATAAATTTATTTGGTGCTTACAATTGTGCACTATATGGGCAATGTTTTACTTGAGTTATAACTGTTAGTGTATTTCTTATCTTTGAATTGAAATATATTGTGGGTATATTTCACTTCCAGCATATCAAGGGGAAAAACACAATGTCCTTCCCGCTTAAGGCTAGACACAATTTTACTGGCATTCCAAGTAGCATTTGAATAAAGGAAAGACAATCATTGGTAAAAGTAACTTTTTTCCCAATTCAGTAATGCTGCACTTCCAATCACGAGATTAGTAGATCAGTTTTTAAAAGTCCAGAAATTTTCTCGAGTCTGTCTCCTAATAACAGATGAGACATGAAGGGTACCTTTGGATAAGCGTTTTGGGAGCATACCTCTGGCAAGGGGACGCTGCTGATATTGAGGTCTATGAACTACTTTCTTTGTGTAGGGATTTTTTTAAATTATGTTTATGATGATCCAATTAGCTGCCTCTGTTCTTGCTGGAGTTCTGGGATTTCATATTTGCATCTTGATGTATTTTTCATTTATTGGCTGAGATCCACATAGCACAACAAACCTGTGGAGTGCAAAGAATAATCTTTGGCAGCAGTTTGTTTCACAGAGTAGAGCTACCTATCTCCATCAGTGGGTTTGTTTGTAAAACCAAGCTAGCTACAGAGATAAGGGGTCTGATTCTGCTCTTGCACTGTCTCAATATTCTGCTGTAACACTTAGTGGTTCTGTTCCTAATTCATTCTAGTGTAATCCTGGCTCATTCTTGGTCACGAAATTGGTATTAAAGATGCAGCCGTTTCTAAATGCGGAAATCTCATGTTTGGATTAATGAATACTGAAGTTTCTTTGAATTTTCTGTTCACTATAGTGAGGTCCTGTGAAGCTGATGAAACCTGTACTGTCCTTTCTGTTCTCAGTACTCCAGTGTTAGCAAGCTTTTCACTTATTTCAATCCCATTTTAAACAGCCATTTGTACCTGGCTCTTTTCATCCATGTATTCCAAATGAGCTGGTGCAACTCTTCCCTTCCATCCCTTTCATGTCTTGAGCAATCCTGTAAATCTCTTACCTCTTCCTAGTCATTGCAGAAAGGGCGACTTTCTCCACAAGTTACCTCCTGGATAGAGCTGCCTAATCTCAAGGTATAGACTATGTTTATTTGGTATATGCTAGTAGAATTGCATCTAGCCTTAAGCGGGAAGGACATTATGTTTTTC